AAAAAAAGTTTAGGCAAAAACATTTTCCTTCATTATGAAATCTACGTGGTCATAAAGGTTGAATAAATAACTAAACACACAGAGTATGGTATGGCAAATAATAGTAGACTCTCCATTTTCATAAGCTGGTTATTGCATCTGATCCTTCCTGGTAGGAGCACTGTGCTGTGTACCTGGGGTGACCAGGGTGCAGATGGCATCACTCCTGAGGGAACACACTACCATTGTAAGGCCTTCCCCCCAGAGAAAGTGGTGGATACCCTGGGTGCTGGGGACACGTTTAACGCTGCTGTAATCTGGGGCCTCTGTCGAAGCAGCGGTTTGGAGAAGGCACTCAGGCTGGGATGTAGAATAGCAGGACAGAAATGTGGACAGTTTGGGTATAAAAATCTGCACAGCTGATGCATATTTAAAACTTCCAAATTCACTGGTGAGCTTACTAGATAAAGAGTGGAATGTGTAAGAAAGGGACATTTTTGATTGATGAAAATCTACCCTTTTTTATTTTCCATGAGGAGGTAGTGATTTTGTTGTTTTTGGTGTATTGAAAGAATGACTATAAAATCATTAAGTATTTGATAAACAGTCTATATGGTAAATGTGAAATAAAATGAATTTTTGTGTAGTCCTGAGTCCTGGTATAGTGATTAATATGTGTTTTGCATGTTCCTAGATATTGCTCACAGAAAATAAACTCATGCAAGTAGCTGACAAAAAACTGGAAACATCGTATTTTATAATGGTACTCATTTATGCTGGTTTGCTACAGTAATATATCAATATGCATGTACTGTGTTGTGTTATTAATAAAAAGGTAAGGTTTCACCATTAGAGTCATTAGCATAGCTGCATCTTAGCAATTGATACACAGGACGGGACAGGCAATGGCGCGCAGCCAAATGTGGTTGTCTGGGCAATTCCCTTGAAATAAAGATATACCATGTGCAACCAAAACTAATTGAATTTCAGAGTCAGGTGATCTACAAGCATGACAGTCAGGTTATCTGGGTTGTGTCAACAAGGGGTGCTAAGTCATGTACTTATACGGTATTGACAGGTGTACTCATTAGTCTGATCCAATCAGCGCGCAATAAAAACAGTTTAGGGTGACCTGTTGCCTAGCAACCCCCGCCACCAGCTTAGGAAAACCACCAACCTGAAGTAGGCCGCCGATTGGGCCGCCGATTCGTAGCCGCCCTTTCAGCCGCCGATTCGGGACTAAACCGAGCATAGCAGCTAATTCAAATACAGATTCGAAATCCCAGAAATTTCCTAAATCGACCCCAAAGAAAAATCACGAATGGGGAATTGTTGCAAATGGTCTGTAATAACGCATAGAATATCAATTCAAAGATGAATAAAATCATAAAGTACCAATTAAACGATAAAGTGCAAATTAAAGACTTAGAAACGACACCTAGCGACAATATCATGATCTGCTGATGCTGGCGGCCGATTCAAGTGAATGGTCTCCACCCTCAGGTGTTAAACACCTTGCGTCAGATTAAGCACATAATTCTATAACTCGTAATGACTTTCCATCATTTTATGATGATCCATACTTTGGTGTTCTAGTAAGAAAGTAACGCACGCTACGTCATTTTGACGTCATGTCGTCTTAAACTGAAGAACATGACGGGCAGTTGTACCGTAACTGGTCTCCACCTTTAGGTGTTTAACACCTTGTAGCAGAGTAACTATATAATTTTACAACTTGCAATGACTTTCAATCCCTTTATAATGATCCATACTTTGATATTCTAGTAAGAATAGTAACGCACACGACGTCGTTTTGACGTCATGTCGTGTTACAGCAACGAAAATGGCGGAAAGTTGTACCGTAACTCGTCTCCACTTATAGGTGTTTAACATCTTGCAGCAGGGTAACAATATAATTTTACAGAACTACAATGACATTCAATCCATTTAAAATGATCCATACTTTGATCTTCTAGTAAGACAAGTAACGAACACGACGTCGTTTTGACGTCATGTCGTCTTAAACTGAATAGAAATGGTGGGAAGTTGTGGCAGTAGCTGGTCTCC